CCCCCCCCATAAAGGCTAACTGCCCCCACAAAGGTCTAACTGCCCCCCCAAAAAGGAGAACTGGACTCCAACCCCTCAAAAGGGATAACTGCCCCTGCCCCGCCCCCCACCCCAAAGGGATAACTGGACCCCTAAAAGTCCAACTCCCCCCCCCAAAAGGGCAAACTGCCCCCCCAAAAGGGATAAATGCACCCCTAAAGGTCTAACTGCCCCCTCCCCAAGGGATAATTACCTCCCCCCACCCTCAAATCCACCCCTACACTATTAATGCACCCCTGAGACCTCCTGCCATACCCTCCCACATCCCCCCCATATTTTATACTACTCCTTAATACCCCTTCCCCCCCCCTCCCTCCTCCCCAAACCTCTTAAGATACATCAATTCCCCCCTCCCCTGCTTTAAGGGACCCCCCCCTCAATGCCCCCTCTGCCCCTGGGGACCCTCGTTGTGTCCCCTCTCCTGATACCCCTTAGCACCCCAAACTATCCCAGCAGCCCTCAACCCCAAATACTCCCAGCGGTCCAACCCACAGCACATCCCCAAAGCCACCAGATCCACCTGGGGGTGGGCATCCCCAATAAGCTTCCCTGTGCCACCAGCTGTCCCCAAAGGCCACCCCATTGCCCCCCTAACCCCTTGGTGCCCCCCAACCCCATAGCTTTACTCACCAGAAAAAGGTACTGCAGGCCGTAGATGATGGAGTTTATCGTCAGGACAGGCTTCCAGTCCTCTCTGGTGACAAAGCTGAGCATCAGAAGTGCCACCAGGGCCACCAAGGAGGTGACCACTGTCACCTCATGCCAACATTTGTGGCACGAAGGGGACAACACACACAAAAAGGGGAAGGGGGGGTGGTAATTCCACCCCGATGGATAGTCTGGGATCAAATTGGGATCCAGTTCCATCCGTGGCCGCAGAAGAGGGGGGACACAGCGGTCCCAGTATGATCTTTGTACTGGTCCCAGCTTCCATGCTGGCCCACCTGAGGATGTTGAGGCAGACGTTGCCCTCCAGGTCGATGTTAGGGTGATAGACCATCGTCTCACACTTCACTTTTGGTGGGTCGTGGGGGTAACCCTGGCCGACCTGGGGGGGCAAAGTCACAGCTCAGACACCCCCCCCCTTACCTCCCAGCCACATTTTGGTGACGATCAGCTGCCTTTTTTCCATCCTACAGCACACAGCTGGTGGCACTTTATGACCAACAACCCCCCCCCAAGGGACGGGCAGTTAGTCCAAAAAGTGTTTTGATGACCACAAGTCATGGCCACCACTTTCTGGTTTCAATTGCAACCCATAGAATGGCCACCCATCCCATCCAACTGGCCCCAATCCCCCCTTATCCCATCTCCAACCTATAGGGCCACTGCTCACACCTGGTCCCAAACCCTCGTGGCGGCCACAAGTGAGGTTTCAGTAGTCACCCACCTCCCAGAGACCCAACTGTGGGTGCCAACTTAATGGTCACCAATTCAGGGGACATTTTAGTGGCTGCAGGATGAGAGTTGGCAGCTATGGGGTCAACCCCAAGCGTAGGACTGACCTTAAAACTGAAGACAAATTTCCCTCCTTTGTAGAAACCCTATAACAGAAACAGATGTCATCAGGGATGGGGACAAAGGGGGATGAGAGGGGAGATTCCACGGGATAAGAGGGCAAATGGGGGGAGGGAAGAGAGGGATCCTAAAGGGGGAAATGAAGAGGGGGATCCCAGCTGGAGGTTTTGGGGTGGGGAAGGGGACACCCACCTCGTCAGGGCAGATGAGGAGACGGAAGTGCAGCAGGTCGTCCTGGTCGGAGAAGTCGATCTCACAAGTCTTGGGCAGGTTGAGCTCGTTGATATCTGTGGGGACACGTGGGGACACGTAGGGATATTTAGGGACACGACTGCGGCCACCCCAAAGGGCAGAGCAGCCCAATCCCAGTGCTCCCAGCATGGTCGTACTGGGAGCAGTACAGCACCACACCGAGGTCATACTGGGACAATGACACGGATCATACTGGGACCAGTTTGTGCACCACAGTTAGGGAGGTAATGGAGACAATACAACCCTACCCAACGCCCATACTGGGACCAGTACATAGGCCATACTGGGACCAGTGTGTGTCCCACAGCAGAGCCAGACTAGGACCAGTATATAGGCCATACTGGAACCAGTGCAGGCCACACAGCAGAGCCATACTGGGACCAGTACAGAGATCATACTGGGACCACTGTAGCACCACAGAAGACTCACACTGGGACCAGCTCATATGCCATACTGGAACCAGTGCAGGCCCCACACCAGGGCCATATTGGGACCAGTATATAGGCCATATGGGATCACTGTGTGTCTCACACCAGGGCCACACTGGGACCAGTACAGAGATCACACTGGGACCACTGTGTGCACCACAGCAGAGCCATACTGGGACCAGTATAAAGATCATACTGAGACCACTGCGTGTCCCACAAAAGAGCCAGACTAGGACCAGTATATAGGCCATACTGGGACCACTGTGTGCCCCACAGCAGGACCATACTGAGACCAGTACAGAGAACACACTGGGACCAGTTTGTGCTCCAAAGCAGAGCCATACTGGGACCAGTACAGAGATCATACTGGGACCACTGTGTGCCCCACACCAGGGCCATACTGGAACCAGTGCAGGCCCCACAGCAGAGCCATACTGGGACCAGTACATAGGCCATACTGGAATCACTGTGTCCCTCACAGCAGAGCCATACTTGGACCAGTACAGAGATCATACTGGGACAAGTACATAGGCCATACTGGGACCACTGTGCGCCTCACAGCAGAGCCATACTGGGACCAGTACAGAGATCACAGTGGGACCACTGTGTTCCACACCAGGGCCATGCCGGGACCAGTACAAAGACCACACTGGGACCAGTTTGTGCACCACAGCAGAGCCATACTGGGACCAGTTCATAGGCCATACAGGGATCACTGTGTCCCTCACAGCAGAGCCATACTTGGACCAGTACAGAGATCATACTGGGAACACTTTGTGCCCCATACTGGCACCATACTGGGACCAGTACAGAGATCATACTGGGAACACTGCATGTCCCACAGAAGAGCCAGACTAGGACCAGTACATAGGCCATACTGGGACCAGTGTGTGTCCCACTCCAGGGCCATACTGGGACAAGTACATAGGCCATACTGGAACCAGTGCAGGCCACACAGCAGAGCCACACTGGGACCAGTTTGTGCTCCAAAGCAGAGCCATACTGGGATCAGTACAGAGATCATACTGGGACCACTGTGTGCCCCACACCAGGGCCATACTGGAACCAGTGCAGGCCACACAGCAGAGCCACACTGGGACCAGTACATAGGCCATACTGGAATCACTGTGTCCCTCACAGCAGAGCCATATAGGGACCAGTACAGAGATCATAGTGGGACCACTGTGTCCCACAGCAGGGCCAGATTGGGACCAGTACATGGACCATACTGGGACCACTGTCTGCCCCACACCAGGGCCATGCTGGGACCAGTAGAAAGACCACAGTGGGACCAGTTTGTGCACCACAGCAGAGCCAGACTGGGACCAGTTCATAGGCCATACAGGGATCACTGTGTCCCTCACAGCAGAGCCATACTTGGACCAGTACAGAGATCATACTGGGACCATTGTAGCACCACAGAAGACCCATACTGGGACCAGTATATAGGCCATACTGGAACCAGTGCAGGCCCCACAGCAGGGCCACACTGGGACCAGTATGTAGGCCAAACTGGGACCACTGTGTGTCCCACAGCAGAGCCATACTGGGACCAGTACAGAGAACACACTGGGATCACTGTGTGCCCTACAGCAGAGCCATACTGGGACCAGTACAAAGATCACACTGGGACCACTGTGTGCACCACAGCAGGGCCATACTGGGACCAGTACAGAGATCATACTGGGACCGCTGTAGCACCACAGTAGAGCCATACTGGGACCAGTGCAGGCCCTACACCAGGGCCATACTGGGACCAGTACAGAGAACACACTGGGATCACTGTGTGTGCCACATTGGAGCCATACTGGGACCAGCGTGTGCCTCACAGCACAGCCAGACTGGGACCAGTACAAAGATCACACTGGGACCAGTGTGTGCCCCACAGCAGAGCCACACTGGGACCAGTACAGAGATCATACTGGGACCACTGTAGTACCACAGCAGACCCATACTGGGACCACTGCAGGCCCCACAGCAGGGCCACACTGGGACCAGTACGTAGGCCATACTGGGACCATCCCACAAACCATACTGGGGCCATACTGAGACCCCCCCCCCCCCCCCCCCCCCCCCCCCCCCCCCCCCCCCCCCCCCCCCCCCCCCCCTCCCCCCCCCCCCCCCGCCCTCCCCGCCCCGCCCCTCCCCCCCCCCCCCCTGCCCCCCCCCCCCCCCCGCCCCCCCCCCCCCCCCCCCCCCCCCCCCACCTTTCTGTATGCGGAGCTGCGCGGCCGAGGCCTTTTTGCTGGTGCCCTTGGTGCCTCCCGCCGATTCCTCCTCCTTCTTCTGCTGCTTCAGCGAGAAGAGCTTGATCATCCTGCCGGGCCGGGCCTCGCCTCACCGGGCCGGGGGCGGCGGACCGGGTTGGCCCCCCCCGGCGGGGAGGAGGCGGCGGAGGAGGCGGCGGTGGAACGGCGCCGGGCGAAACGGCGGAGGCGTTGAGGAGACGGAGGGTGGGCAACGGCCGGCGCCGTTCGGCAACTTCCGGAAAGGCTTCGGGTTTGTCCGGAAGGAACTTCGGTGTTTTCCGGAATGGTTCGGCGACGTTCGGAGAATGTTCGGGTTCTTCCGGATGAAGAGAGAGACTCTTTCCGGTCCTTTCTCGGCTCCTTCCGGTTCTTTCTCGGCCCTTTCCGGAAGTCTCCCCACACGCGCAGCCTCCGGCTTTCTCCGGAAGGCTTCGGTTCGTTTCGTAGCCAATCGCTGATAAGTGCGGCTCCGCCAGGAAAGGGGCGGGGCTTTGAGGGTGAAACGGACGCCATCTTTCTTGTGGGCACTCCTGTCCCCATAATAGGAGCGTTCTCCCCTTCCCAGTCCCAACACGGGGTGGGGGGGGATGGGGAATAGGATTAGAATAAAGAGGAGCTCTAAGAGATTAAGAAATAACTTTATTTATTTTTAATACCATAGAAGGGGGACGCTCCCATAAAAAGAAGAGGGAAAACCTCCATAAAAAGGGGATGGCCCCATATGTAGAGCAGTGTGGGGCACATGATAACCCCATAGGATGAATGGGGAACAATAGAAACGAAATAAAACACCAGGGGGCCAGCCGCAGTGGGTAGCGGGGGCACAAAGAGGCCCCTTCACCTCCCCTCCATCCCTTTTCTGAAGACAACAGCTCTACCCCCAAGAGACACACAGAGGTGGAATGGGGCAGCCCTACAGGAGGGGGGTGGGGGGGGCAGGGAATATTTATGGATTGCTAGGAGACTCCCACAGAAGGGAAGGGGGGGGAGGCATAGGGATACCCCTCCCCCCTAAGCCCCTCCTCTCCTCCTTGCTGAGCATAACAAGTCTACCCAGCCAGCTCCGCTATCCTCCAGCCCAGAGCAATGGGGGGAGGCTCAGGGGGCCGCAGGAGGGGCAGGGAAAGGAGCAGGGGGGGCCGCTGCGTTGCCTTCAGCCACTTCCATGGGCATGCTGGGTTCAAGGAGGGTGGAGAAGCTGCGGTTGTTGAAGGCAGATCTGAGCTGCTCCTCGAAGAAGCGCTGCACGCCCAGGATGGACTGCACGTCAGCTTTGTCCTGGGGAAAGAGGGGGGAAATTAAAAGGGGTCAGGGGGTGCTGGAGCTCTGCAAAGGGGGGCAATGAGAGGGGAGGTGGGGGGTGGTCTCCTCACCTCTGTCAGGCGGTTGAATTGGCGGATCATGCGAGCGATGTCAGCGGCGAACTCCTCTGGGCTGCTGTAGGTGGGGGAGAGCTTCCCCTGCAGCTTGGCTCGGATGAGGGTCAGGTCGATGGCATCACTGCTCTCCTATAGGGACAGAATAGGATTGAAAGGAAAAGGGGGGAACCCCCCCACAGGAGATCCCAAGGGATCCCAGTGGGTTCAGCACTCACCGTGGAGCTGGAAAGGCGGTGCAGGGGGCGGCAGGGCTCATGGCACAGCAGCTCCAGTAGCACCCGTTCACACCTCTGTAGGTATTTAAAAAAAAAAAAAAAAAAATCCCCTTCTCCATCCTCCCTTCTCAACAGTGCATCCCCCAGATTTCCCACCCCATCCTTTGCACCCACCTGCTGGTCCGTGGGGCAGAGTGTGGGGAGCTGACCCTCCTCGGGACCGCCGTTGGTGAGTCCCTCAGTGGGGGGTGGAAGGTCCTGGCACAGCAGGCAGCGCCAGTCGTGGCTATGGGATCAGGTGGGGGATCCACTGAGAGCCCCACAGCACTCCCCCTCCCGGTTTGGGGGTGGTAGAATGGGAGAGGCTTGGAGTTTTAAGGGATTTGGGATCAAAAGGGAGCAACGGATCACGGCACAGGGATCAACAGGGGAAATGCCCTGCGGGTCACAGACCAGCTGGTGGGATGTGTGAAGGATTGGACAGCAGCTCCCTCAGAAGCAAAGATATCTGAGGCCAACACACAGCTCTCCGTATGGATCAGGGCAATAGGATCCCAAGGGGACTGAGGCCCCAAATGGGTTGGGATCGCTGACGGAAAAGTAGAGCCCCGTGTGGGTCAGACTCATCAGGTTCCCCAAGGATTTGGGATCAACAGGTAGATCTCAACACGGATGAGGGCTAGGAGGTCCTGGAGGATGAGAAGTGGATCTATGGGATTGGCTCCAGCAGCTGCCACAGTCCTCAGGGTTGGAGGAAAGACTAGGTCCAGGGAATTGGGATGGAGCCCCAGAGGATCCCCTCCCAAAGAATCTGGAGAAGTGGCAGCAATTCCACCACCACCTTCGGGCCAAAAAAGCAGTAGATCCCATGAGAGATGAGCAGAGCATAAAGATCTGACAGCACTGGGTGATCTCTGAAGATCTGGGGAGCAGCAAAATCCCTGAGCTTCACCCAGGGGTGGATGCAGAGGGAGATGGGGGAGGTGACAAGGGCCAGCAGCAGGGGATCCCGTGGGGGACCAGATGTACCTGGGGACCACGTGGAGCACAGGGAGGTGGCAGTCGAGGTGGTAGCAGCGCTCACAGAGGTCACACATCACCACAGCACCGGCCTGGCAGCAGACACGGCAGCAGGAGACGTTACGGTGGGTCCCTGTGGGGGCCACGGTGGGTGCTGGGGGGATTTCAGGCCCTGTCACCACCCTGCTGGGGAGCTCAGGGGGCAACAGCACAGGTTTGGTGTCCTCAGCGTCCTCGATGGACAATTCTTTCTGCTCCTCCTGGAAAAAGGGACGGCGGGGTGAGATGGGAAAAGATGCGGGAAGTGGGGAGGGGGAGAGAAGGCTGGGGAGGGGCACAGAAGGCTGCTCACCTTGATAGCAGGTGGGGGTGGAGGAGCAGGCTGAGGCTGTGCCCCCCGTTCAATAACGATGAGGCTGAACTCCTCAGCTGAAGTGCCAGGGAAGACACGGAAGACAGGGGGCTGTGCTTCCCCTGACAGGTCCAGGTCCAGGCGTTCCAGGCTGACCCGTGGCACCTTGCGAAGCATGGGACCTCCTGAGGGTTGCCTGCTGGAAAGTGGTGGTGGTAGGAAGGGGTCAGGATGGGTGGGGAGCACCCTTAAGTCCCTCAGGAAGATTTTTATGGGGTTTGAGGCACTGGGAGTCCCATGAGATAGGGGTAAGGGGAGGGCAAGAGGCCTCTGAGGGTTGGCTGCTGGGGAGCGGCAGTGGTGGGGGATTCAGAATGTGGGGGAAGCAAACCTAAGCCCCTCAAGAGGATTTTCATGGGGTTTGGGGGCACTGGGGGTCCTTAGGATAGGGGTAAAGGAAGGGGGGAGGGTCTATCCACCCCCTAGGCATAGGGGGACACGGGACAGGGTCATCCTAATCACAGCATAAGGGAGCCTGAGGGAGAGGAGGGCATGGATAGGGTAGTGGTCCTGTGTCCTTCATCACCCTATCAGCAAGTGATGAAGGACATAGAGATTGTGTCAGCCTTGGGTATGGGGACTGTCCTTGTCATCCCCACAAGGGACAGAAGCCTGGAGAGGCTGCATCTCCCACCCTCCCCTTCCATCTGAAGGAGGTGCCTTGGCCCTTTCCCCTCCTCCAATCCCCAAGCTGTTCTCATTACCGCTTAACGAGCAGCTTCGGAACAAACTTCTCTTCCACCTCCTCATCAGGAGGATTTGCACGTCTTCTCCTGCATAAAGAGATTGTCAGGGCACTGGTCTGGATGCCAGAGCCCCCTTAAAATTGGGTTCCCCCGAGCCAGGAAGGGGTGGGAGAGCTGGGATGGAGCCCCGCCACCCAGGGACATCGTGGCCCTGTGCCTGGACATCAAGTGACAAGGGGTGCAAGGAGGAGTGTGGTCATCTCTGAGAATGAGGTGACGAGGATCAGGGGAAGGCCAAGAATGGGGTGGCAAGGGAAAGGGATGGCACAGTTATCCCCTGGACTCAGGGTTCCCAGCCTTGTGGGGTGACAAAGGGTTTGTGGGGGTCCCAAAAGCAAGAGCCAGCAGGTGACAAGGGACAAAACACACTCACCTCTTTGCTCCCGTGGCAACAGGTTCAGAAGAGGCATTACCTGCTGAGAACAATTAAAAAAAAAAAAATCAAGGACCACCCTCCTCCTCCTCCTCCTCCCAGGAGGACCCCCAGCTCACCCCCACACTCACCCAGCTCCACATTGGCATCCTTGGGGGTCTCAGACACCTGAGGTTCAAGGCAGGGTGGGGACATGTCAGGACCCTCAGTTCTTAAAGGACCCTGAGGTGTGTCTGATGTCTCCGCCCCCTCCTCGGCAGTTTGGGGGTTGCCAGGGGTCTCCTGGCCTTCTTTGTCCTTGGGTTGGGCTGCTTTGGGGGACTGCAGGAGGGGGCTGGGGGCACACTGCCCTTTGCTCACCACTGTGGCTTTCAGGGAACCCTATAAGAGAATAATGGGGGGGAGGGGGGGCATTGTTAGAAGGGTGGGGCAAGGAAAGAACAATGAGAAAGGAAAAAAAGAAGGGTGAGAAAGAAAGGATGAGTGAAAGAAGGAAGAATCAGAGAGAATAAAAGGGAGGATGGTAATGAGAAATAAAGGAGGGATAATGAGAAAGAGAGAGAAAAAGAATGAAAGAATGGAAAAAAACAATAAGAACAATGAGTAAGAGAAAACAATAAGACTGAGGGGAAAAAAAAAAAAAGAATGCAAAATAAAAGAACGCCAAAGAGAAACAAAGAAAGAAGAGAGAAAGAAAAGAGGGAGGAAAAGGGCGAGGCAGAAAGGTCGCTCTGAAAGTAATGCCTCCTATTTATCTCCATGGAAACTGCAACAGCTACAAAGAGCACAATGACACTGTTGGATGGAGCAGATTCTCAGCTAGAAAACGCTGCGTTTTCCAACATAGTCACCACCATCAGGCGATCCGTGCAGATGAGCTGATCCAAACACTCCTTTCGTGCTGTGACAGCTGTGCATGGCCGGCCGGATCGTGGTTTGTCTTTCACGTCGCTGTCTCCTCTGCTGAAACGTACCACCCACCTCCTCACAGTGCTCACATCCACTGTCAGGTCTCCATAAACGTTCAGCAAGCGTCGATGAATGTCGATGGGAGCGATTTTTTCCGCATGGAGGAATTCAATTACACACCTTTGCTTCATCCTCACTTCCATGTCAGACGCCATTTTTTTGTGCAGCCTGCCCCTCTGCTGCCATCTGTCGCATGGCAACAACGTGTAAATGGGAAGGGTTGGGAAGGTTCCACCTCTGCTGCCATGCTGCCAACATCCGCCTCCAACGCCGTGGGCCAATGGAAGGAAATTGGAGGCATTACTTTCAGAGCAGCCATTCCTGGATCACACGAGACAGAATTGTTCATTCAGCCCTTGGAAGGTGATGGTGGCATGATGGTGCTCGTTTTCCAGCCCGTGGCAGTGGGCTGTTGTGTGAGCTCTTGTTGGTTAGAGTAAACATCCTCCCAGAGGGCAGCAGGAGGGGGTAAAGTCATCAGTGCCCCAGTTTGCAGGGGAGAAAACCATCAGTGCCCCAACCTGCAGGGCACAAAAGTCATCAGTGTCTCAACCTGCAGGGATCTCTTTCATGGCTTCGTATCCCTTCTTCTGTGATCTCTGAGCTATGATCCCTTGGTTGGAAATGGAAAGAAGCGGTGATTTATTTCACAGTCGGTGGTAATGATTCCTTTTAACCATCTGCTCACCCCTTTCACCTTTGTATCCGTTGGCTTTTGCACTCTTGAGAGTGCAAGCATTCCACCTTTCTTAAATCCATCAATACAAGACACCTGATTAAACCCCTCCCTGCCATGGAGAGGCTCATTGCTCCCCATTAGATGCAGGAAGGCTCAAGCCTGCTGAGCCCTGATGCACACACCTGTGATTATTTAAGGCTTGCCTGCCCCCGTGTGAATAAATTTCTGTGTCATTTTGAGGAATTTGAGGTCCACATAGAAATCCTGCAGCTGCCATGAGATCATCCAAGAGATAAAGAAACCACACAGAGAACTTGAGAACTGAAAGCACAGATTTCAAAGGCACTCCACAAGTGGGTGTGCAGCCCACTGCTGGTTTCATTCTCACTTCTGGTCTGTTTAATTATGGCGACAGTAAGCGTGTAAGGTAATCTGTGTGATACAACCATCCTCAGTCCTCCAAGCTGAAGCACTGGCTGCTGAGCTGGGTGCCAAGCAGAAAAGGAATGGATGATTTCTCACAAAATTTATCATGATGATACACTGTCTGAACCACTTAGAACCACAATTCTGCTGGCAGAAGAAGAAATAATGGAGTCTGAATTTTAATGTCCTCCGCAGACGCTGTTAAGAATGCTCCTCTACTGCCATCTGCTGCATGGCAACAAAACTTCACAGAACATAGACAAGATTCAACTTCTGCTGCCACACCACCACCATTGAAGGCCAAGGGAATAAAATAGGAGGCGCGACTTTCAGAGCAGCCCTTGAAAGTGCAAGATTTTCCCCCAGAAAGCACCCCCTGACCCCCAGATTACCTGTGAGGGACCCACAGCTGACGGCTGAGAGCTGAGGGTTGGTGGGACGATGCCGTTCTCCGACACGATGGTGCCTGTGAGGGAGGTGGAGGTGTCAAGGGGGGGGTTGAGGGTAACCCCAGAGTGCCCCCCTCCCCTTTTTCTGGGCTCACCAAAGCTCTCTGCGCTCTTGGTCCAAGCGTTAGGATCCCACTGAAACTTCATGTCACTCTGAGGCTCCACAGGGTCCACGATCATCTTGAGGGCACGCTGGAGCTGAAAGTGGATCTGGGGGGAGGGGGGGTTGGGGAAGGCACAGGGAGGGGGCTTGTCACAACCCAAGGGTATCCATGACACCACAGGGGAACAAAGCATCCCCCCAACTGTCCCAAAAATGGTCCTGCTGAGCACTGGGGCAGGGCAGGCAGCTCACCAGTTTTTTGGAGAGGAGCAGAGCCGTGTTGTTTTCGCTCTCCAAAGCCCAGGAGGTGAAACGAAGGACGTGCTCTTGGTGCCTCTGCAGTTTGGTCATGGCCCAGTGCTGCCTCTCCAGCTTCTCCTGCTGCCCCTCAGTCACCTTCTGCCAGGAGGACACATCACTGTCAGGCTATATAAGATCCCTCAGGTCTCAAAGCTTACCAGAGCACCGGCAGGCATTTCCTTTTTTGACAGGCCCTCAACCTCTGCCTATGCATGGTTGCCAAGGGCAATAAGATAAGAGGAATGTCCTGCAGTTAAGCAACTGGAAGAACGGGTTTTGTGCAGCCAAATCACTCTTGGGAAGGGGGGGATGGGGGAGCTGAAGGGGCCCTTCCTACCCAGAAGTAAGGAAGCCTCCTGCCCATGCTGTTTCCAGCAAAATAAATAAATAAAACAAAACCACACCAAGAAAAAAAACAAAGGAGAGTTTAAAAGGACTCCTCAGACAAAGAATTTCAGGATCCTCCCCACCAATGGACTACAGGCTTGTGGGATGCTGGGAATTCACCTTGGTGAATCTCTGCTTTCTACAATGAATCACAGAACGGCCAGGGTTGGAAGGGACCTCGAGGATGATGAATCTCCAGCCCCCCTGCCACATGCAGGGCCACCAACCTCCACATTTAATACCAGCCCAGACTGCCCAGGACTCCATCCAATCTGGCCTTGAACACCTCCAGGGATGGACGGGGCATCCACAGCCTCTGTGAGCAGCTGCTCCAGCACCTCACCACTCTCTCTGTAAAGAACTTCTCCCTGATATCCAATCTAAATCTTCCCTCCCTCAAATTCTAGCCTGTATAAATACCTTGGATTCCTTATTTCCCGCTTTTTTTTACCATTGCTTTTTTTCCTTTCTCACTCCACCAGCCAGCAGACAGCCAGGAAGGAGGGGAAAAAAAAACCCATGAGGATGGTGAGGGGAATTGTGGCTCACCTGGGCGTCGCTCACCAGCACCCTGCCCCTCTTGTTGAGCTCCCTCATGATGTACAGGATGGCTGTCTTCACATCCACCTGCACCTGCTTCTGCACATCTGACACCTGGCGGATCCTGCCAGAGGGGGAGGGAAGGGGTAAAGGTCGGCAGCATCCCCCTTTGGAGGGGAATAACTCTCCCTCATTGCCCCACAACTCCCCAGTGCCTGCCTCCCCCCTCCCATGACCCTCAGCAGCCCCATAACCCCCCTCAGCCCCACACCCCCTGGCTGCCCCATAACCCCCCCAGCTCTGTCATCTCCCCCAGTCCCCTCCTCCCCACAGCCCCATAACCCATCATCACCCCATAAGTCCCCCATCGCCCCACAAGCCTCAGAAGTCCCATAACCCCACAAGCCCCACACCCCACCACCACCCCATAACCCCCCAGCCCCACACC